GGTCATTTGGCCAGAGATTCTTATTAAGCGATTATTGAATACACCCACTCTCCGTTTACGTATATTGCGATAATTGCGATAATAAGACATAACAATGAAGGTATCTTGTTCAACAGAATAAACCATTTTCACAAAATAAAATTTTCGTACAAACTCCAAGAATTTTGAAAACGACTATTTTATTTTTTTGAGCTTGGATCAACGAGAAGGACTGTAATTCACACTTAAAAAACGTTAGAACAATAAAAGCGATGACTTTGAATAACAGCTTCAAAAGACATTACTAACAAGTGGGAACTGTCATAATAAGGCATAATCTTTAAACGAAGAGGAATTTTTTAATTCCATGGCCAACTACGCCCTTAGGATCATTTATAAAAACCCTGTAGTTATAATACTGCGACTCTATAATCATTTATAGAAACCCTGTATAACTATAACTTTAAGGTTTTTGTTTTATATGTCATTTTTATTAAATAAATTACAAAAAATAATGTCGTACCAATGAAGTAACTGAATGTATTTAATTCAATACAACAACCACCCCAAGAGTTTCTCTAGCGTAATAAACGTCAAAAATGATTAAAGTGCATTAAACAAGTTGGACGACTCTAACAATACAATAATTACGATTAATAATGATAATTCATCCTTATTGAAGTGTTTTCTTAATAGCTGTAGTGGCTCGATTAGTATTGTTTTATTATTTATTATCTGTATCTTGTATACAAGTTTATATCTTAGGATTTACTATTGTACATAATTGTTAACAACAGCAAATCAATAACAACAAAAAAGATATAAAACCAAAAATCACCAAATGTTACAAATATCGCATGTACGGGCACGAAAGAATGAAAAACAAAACTACACCAATCTCAAGTAGGAATTTCTAAAAATGACAACCCTATATACACTTTTTCAAAATGACAATATCGCGTGTTTGTTAATATGACACGTTGTTCAATAATTCAAAGAAATATACCGCCCATTATTTCCAGCCGAAGCTTTGAACACAGCAAATTATATTTGAAGTTGTTGCCAAACAACTAGTTTTCCTGGAATTCGAAACATTTTCTGTAGTAAAATCTGTTCCTTAAATAATTTTGATGCGTTGAATAAGTTTAATTCAAACGTAGATAAATTCCATTTCAGAGCAAATGTTTTTTGTGATCTGCTGTGAATAAACGAACAAGTGCGAAGTGTGGATTTCAAATGAAAGAGATTTGAAGTTGGACGAAGTTTCACAGCCATAATGACATGAGTTCTACAACATTTTGACAACTGATGAGAATATAAATAACAAAGATCACGATAATTAACAACGAAGACAAAGATGAACATGCTGCCAGCACATAAAAAGCCACTGAAACACGAGAAAAACGAATAGAGTAAACAAAAACATGGAAGTTGCTTTATGAATCAAAAGAAATATCGGTGCTAGTTGTAATATAGTTTACGACGAAATATTAATAGAATTAGGTCGATTTCTTCAATCTACCATTCCCAATCTATTGATGTTTTCAAAGGAAGCATATTCTGACAGTAGTTTCATAATTGATGAAATTTTGATTATATGTCTTAATTCTGAGATGATATAAACGTCCCAAGTTTAGGATCAAAAATCTGTTTAGACTTAAATATTAAACACCCATAATAAATGTCTTTTTTTGTTATTCTAGTGGATGTTCATTATCTCATACAGTTCTCATTTCGAATTCAAAACTTCAAACCAGGAAATTTAAGTCCTTGTCCACTTTATTCTATATACTTAAGTGTTTATGGGATTATGGAAATCCGCGAAGAAGAGGCGGAGAAGCCTAACACCTCTCACTGCTGAGTACTGACAATACTTTTGCGTATGATGTTTCTGTTTCTGTCTTCATCCGAGACAAGTACACAGGTTTACGGTTCCAACCCTAAAATCCTAAGAAGTGAGGGCAGTGCGTACAATGTATCAGACGAAGACAGAAACAGAAACATACCAGATGTCGCAATTCGTACAGTTTACAACATCTTGCCAAAAAGGAATTCTCTTGTTGGGATCCCGTGTTGAAATGCAGATAGGACGTAGTAATCCGCTTCCAGTTTTAATAATGAAAATGTAGAAACAAAAAAAATCTATTCATAACTGTTACGACTCATAAATATTCTTGTAATTTACAAATTAATATAATAAATATTATACACCAAGTGAATCAAACATACGTTTATTCACGAGAAGATGTTGATATCACGAGCACGCAGTGCGAGTGAGATCATTTCTTCGAGTGAATAAATATGTTTGATTCACGCGGTGTATATATGTTTTTATTCCATTTTGACGAATTTTATTAATAAAATTTCAATAAATAAAAATTCGAATCGAGAAATCGTGTATACTGCGAAACTAATTTTCGTGACAACCAGCTTAACAACCAGTTATTTACATTTTTCTAAATTTGTGACACTGGCGGCATTTGTGTTTTCCTAGACAAAAATGTCTGGAATTTTGGAAGATAAAGACGAAAACGAAGTGTTTGTACCCTCAGCAGTCCTAGACGAAGCCTTGGAAGCTATCAATAAGGTGGTGCCAGCAAAATCCAAGCATTCATATGAAAAAGAGTATACGAATTTTTATGAATGGAGGAAACGAAAGCATGCAAAAGGAGTAGATGAAAGAATAATTTTGGCTTATATTTCGGAACGGTCAAAAAATGCTAAATCTTCATCACTATGGTCGTATTATTCCCAACTGAAGAAGATGTTATCTGTGAAGGAAAATATTGATATAAGCAGGTTTGTGACATCGCAATGATTAATATAAGGTTTAAAATATTCATTATTATAGATTTCATCAAGTGTCAGCTTTCCTAAAACAACAGTCTGTAGGGCACAGACCAAAGAAATCCAAAGTGTTCACGCTCGAAGAAATGGAAAGGTTTTTAGATAATGCTTCTGATGATGAATATTTACTGCAAAAAGTAATTTTTGTCGTGGGAGTTTTTGGAGGATGTAGAATGGGTGAATTGGTGGCCATGTCAGTTGATGATGTTGAAGACAGGGGTAGCGTACTTGTAGTCCAAATTCCAGACACGAAGACTCATAAATCCAGAACATTTACCATCATCAATGGAAGTAACTCTGTTCCTGCTATTGACGTTTTTCGGAAGTACAGAATATTACGGCCTGAAAAGATTTCACACAAACGGTTGTTCATTAATTACAAGAACAAAAAATGCACGGTACAACCAGTTGGAGTGAACACTTTTTCAACAATTCCCAAAAAAATTGCCCAATTTCTAGGCCTCCAAAATCCACAAGAATACACCGGTCATAGTTTTAGGCGTTCGAGTGCAACTCTACTAGCAGACTCTGGTGCAGATTTAACAGTTGTAAAGAGACACGGTGGCTGGCGTTCGAATAGTGTTGTGGAAGGATACATAGAGGATTCTCTGAATAATAAAATCGAAATTTCGAGAAAAATCATTGAGCGATCATCAACAATAATTGATAATAGATCTGCCTTGAATCCCGTAGCAGGCTCCTCTGCGTCAAATTCCGTGTCACAACAAGAAACTAATCATCAAGACATTATTTTGCCCATTCATCGGAAATTTGATATAAATTTTAATAATTTGAATAATTGTAACTTTTATATTTCACACTACAATGACAAAGACTAAATCAATGTTAATATTTTTGGAGAAGAAATAAAAATCTGTTCTTAATTGAAATTTTTTAATTCACTGAACGCTTTGATTCTACTAGTGAATTCAAACGCTTTGATTTCACTAGTGAATCATGAACTCCTTATGAAGGTGACTATGGAGTTAATAAAGTCAGTTTAAATTGTCAAAATGGAATAAAACTATTTAATTCAGGTCATTGAACATAATCATTTCAGTTATTGCGATAAATGAATGCTTATTATAACAAATAAATTTATATTCTAGGTAAAAAATGTCTTCTCGTTTAAATAACAAAGAAATTCTAAGAAAAATGTATTTTCTCAACCTGTTGCTTCCAATAAAATAGAGCACTGAGTGAAACCAGGCACAATTCTTAATCTCCCAAAAAAATTAATATAATGGCACTCAAGATTGGAATTCCTGTAATTGAACAACATTTACCTTCAGCACTAAATTGACTACCTACCTTTTAATACGAACATATAACACAACATTTTTTTTATGTTACAGACCTTCCCACAAAAGTGTATCGATTAAACCTCTGTTCAAAAGTATGTCGGTATAAGACGAGTACCTATTTGTTACTTCCGTAAATTAATGTTTATATTATTTTTTTCTAAAGATGTATCTCATTTTAGTTTCATTATAATATTATTAATTTGGTACATAACATGACAACAACAATAATTTCCTTTAGTTATGAAACTTAGATATACAAAAGGAATCCATTAGTGTGAAATGAGATTAGTAAATACGATGACCGTGTAATAATAAAGTAAAAAGATCACTTATACAACTGTAGCTTTAAATTTTCCTCAATTAAACTTTTATAATTAGAATGGTCAGTGCGCATTCAAAAGCTGAGTCATCCCCATAATATCCGTGACATTACCCCTAGAAACCGTACGTGTAATGAAACTGCACTTTTTCTTTCACTCTAAAACATTTCCCATCTCAGGTCGAATATGTCCATCCGATAGCACCTTAACAACCGTCACTCCCCGCTCTCAAACCTTATTAATATCAACCACTGCATTTCATGTAATTCATCCTTGTCTGTTTGTCGAAGCACCAATATTTGCCAAGTTTAGGATTAGCCGGTATGTAATTTGTTTACCCTTAGCTCACCGTCATACATTAGCCGAGCCAGGGGCAGAGTTGGGCCGTCTAAGGCGGAGCCCTTAACAATAGATCAACAACCCGGCAGGGTGAATTCGCCGTGTAATAATAGAGGGGGCATATAAAATCGAAAAACTCGCCAATTTAAAAACCAGTAGGGCTTGTAACACCCTTCCAAACACATGTGTATCACGTGTAAGTGCGTCCAACATGAACATGTCGAGATCGTTTCTTGTTGATTCGTTAATCAACAACACACCTAGAGACTTAAATCCAAGATATGTGCCACCGAATTTTAGTGAAAGACCAATGTTGCCTTACCATCAAAACTACATCAGCAGTTACCTGTTCTCGCTGAGTTTGGCCCAGCAACATCACTCCAGCCAGATTTTTACTCCACATAAGGCACCGATCAGGCCCGTCGCCTCCCATCCGAGGATAATACCACCAAAAAGGGAACTTCCTTCGCCGAAAAGGTTGTCTCCTATTTTACCCGAAAAACCAGTTTCGCCAAAAACACCGCCACAGAGTCGAGATTCTACTCCTACGCCTGAAGAACGTTTAACACCGTCTAGCAAGGATATGTCGAGTAAGAGGATCAGAACAGCTTTTACTAGCACTCAATTGTTGGAGTTGGAGAGGGAGTTTTCGTCGAACATGTACTTGTCGAGACTTAGAAGAATCGAAATTGCTACGTGTTTGCGTCTTAGCGAGAAGCAGGTGAAGATTTGGTTCCAGAACCGGAGGGTCAAGTACAAGAAAGAGGATTTACCGGCAGCTAGTGGGAAGGCTCTAGCGAGTGCGAAATGTTGCTGTTTAAGAACGTGCTCTTCCACTAAGAAAACAAAAGTCGGAAGGAATTCCTGTGATGAAGACATTGATGTTACTAATGTAGATGACGGCCACTGTCATTAAAACATTTGAGATCGGTATTTTTATAGAATTTTTATTATTGTATATTGTACATAAGATTTGTATTTCTTGTATTAATTAATGCCAAAGTTTAACAATAAATTATATTTTTAAAAATAGTTCTTTAATTGTAAGTTGGAAGGTACAAAGGCAGGTAGATTTTCTCACACTATTTCACAGGCGTCAAGTCATTATTGGTAGGTACTTGACTTTCATTCATCCGCTTTACAATATTCCTCTAAAGTATTTTATGAATGGAAACTTGTCTCGTAGTACCTGTACAATACATGACACCCCCACACAATGGCTGTAAAGCCGACAATAAATCCACTAATACATTTTAAATGTCGCTTTTGTGATCTAAACCGACAAGGCTGGTCACATTTTGCAGTGGATATTATGAATGAAGTTCTTTGCATAATGGCAACTTTTGTGCACAGGTGTTTAGAACTTTCCGCTTGTGAAAAGTTTTATGGAGGATGATAATTCATCATAGTGCATGAATGTGTCTAATGAGAAAAATCCATTCAGAATAGTAAGTGAATTTATTTTAAAAACAAATTTACGTTTAAGACGTTCACTATTTTATATGTCTAATATAATTTCTACTTTGTGCTGTATCGAATTTCATATTCATTGTAAAATCTGTAATGAAATATTTCCTTCCAAACCCGCAGCTCACTGACTCGTATGTAGCGTAAAAATGTAATCAAAATTATCCGCATATTTCGTAACGTATACTAGCAACACGACCTCACGTTCTATCTTTCTCTCCACCGCTGGTTTGACGTTAATCTTAATCAAATTTGACAGCATTCACGTGACACATATAAAGTAAGACCTAAAAAGGATTTGACATACACACATTTCCTATAATCCCGGATTTTCGAACAATATGTCCCTTAACATATTCCGTTTAAAAGCAATTTTCTACACATATTACCCCATTTCTATAGGATTATATGACCCTATTGTTTAGTTATTGTATCGACTGTACCTTTTTCCATTTTTGTTGCCATACTTACGTCCACCCGTATCCCATTACATTCTGTATTAGGTTATTAGTGAAACAGACGGCTTTCACATAAATAGGAGGGAAAGGGTGGTAAAGCATAACGCATCACAGAAAAACAAAGAGATTATTGTTTTTTAAACAAACCGGCGTCAAGCTGTTGTGTTTTGTTTCGTCCTGAATCAAAGGTAATTCTGTATTTATCCGAGGGATTATTCAGACGCCCACGTTTAGTCAAAATAAAATACCTGGATTCATTCTACATTCCTGTAAAAACGGACAAGGGTTGAAAATATTTTGGGATCAGATTTTTCCACAAATAGCACCAAATTAACTCATTTATAACAAACGAGAGAAATATTTAAGCTAGGAAAAGAGCACCTAAATTTAGAGATTTATTTAAAAATCATTATAAACATTATTTTGTCATTTTTCTGTTCAATTTTTTTATCCTACCACCTACCTACAAATTTTATTTTTAGCTTCGCTACATTTTTTTTTTAAGTTAAAATAATTGATTTAAAATAATTTCATCACAGTTTTATAGTAGAATTTTCAACTAAATAAGTTTATATTTCAATGTACGTATCGTACCTATTTAACACCATCTTGACAATTATTGCTGCAACTCCTACATTTCCAAAAAGATTACAATAAAAAATGCCATATAAGCACATAGCAATTTTTGAAGCATATGTAACACCGAATCTCATGTCTACTTATAACTAAAGATGTGTTTCTTCAACTTTTCTGCGAAGATAAAGGTATTGATGTGTTTTAATTTTAGGATTTTGATTATCCATAAAATAAACTAAGCACTTAATATATTTTTTGAGTCTGTCTGAACAGACCCCATTAACGTTTATATTTTTTGATAAAACTTATAATTAATATTTTGTTATTCACTGTCGTTAAAGTTTGTCTAAAATTTTAATGTTTGAAAACAGCTGTACATGTAAAATAAAAAAAAAACAGGCAAAATGTTCAATTACGGCTAATCAATGCACTTTTAAAGTGAAGTTTACTTCACAAAGGTACACTCATTGTTTTGTTATCTTATCAGTATTACAATATACGTGTTGGAATTGACATACGTATCTTTGCTAAAATGTTAACTGACATTTTCAAATAGAAAAACACAATATAAATACAGGCATAACCTTACACTTTATCTTTGGATTTACATTTTTGAAGCAATAATTGTTAATCCATTTCCTAACATGGGCGGAGAAGTACACTCCACACCAAATATAAACAAATAATATTAACAATATATTTTGGCGACATAATGCGTTCGAATCAAAGGCAGTGGTGGAATATGGGTGCGTAAATTATGACACATTACTGAACAGTGAACACAAAAAAAATACAAGGTCTCAAATACATTTGTAGGATCTCAAAATACTTATAGGGTGTCATTTAGTTTTTTATAGTGTTACTGATATTAACTATGATTGTTTAAATGTATACAGGTTTTCACAAATAAAAGTTCGCGAGATTTAGCTTTATGATTTTTCAAAGAAGTGGCATTTGTTCCTAATTTCCCAAAATCAAATTTATAAATTTTGGAATAAGCTGGATTTGTTGGACTGTGCTCCAAGGTAGAGGGAATTTTTTTCTAAATAACCTTCAATCATTTTTTTTATTCTCTCAACAAAAAATATCAGGTGTTAAAAATGTTTTTTTTTTTGTAGAAAAATCATGGTATGTAACCTCTCTGAAGACTCGTTTTTTAAATATTCGCTTCGCTCCGCTAAGCTCATGATTCAATACGTGTGTCTAAAGAGGCGTTTATAAAACTTGTTACATAATATACTATTATAAACAATCATTTCCAGATAATTTAAATATATTATTATTTATCTATGATTCATCTCATACCTACGGAGGATTTTCATATTAGAAAATGCTACGATGCGTGTTTAAGTTGAGATTTTACTTAATAATATTTTGAAACGATGTCAAAAATTATTGAAGAATATGAGGTCTGATTGTCGATTTTCATGTACCTGGGGAAATATATGTGTAATGAAATGGCAAATATATACATTGACATTATATAGGGAAACCTGTTTTATTTATTTATCTTTGGAAAATCATAGTTTTATCAACAATAATTGGAATAATGTTTCAAATTTATTTTTCATTAAAAAAGTGAAGGTTATTCGAGTAGTCTGTTTGTTTTACTAACATCTATTTGATGAAACATTAATATTTTGAATTTTTTGTAGAAATACTTAGAATTTTCATTGCAAAGATAATTAACATAGAGTGCTAGAATATTCTGACTAATAATAATACACTAATCATTTACAGTTTAGAAAAAATGTCACATAGCTCATAGTTTCGTCTTTATTTAAGCACAAATTTTACGGACTTTTTACTGTTAAAATACTCGAAAATTGAACATCATCTATTATAATTTGTTTCTACTGAGGAACCATTTTACAATTTTTTTAATTATAGGATCTACTAATTGGTCGAAGGTTATTTTGACAGAACTTCCTTCACTCCTGAAGTACAATGAAACAAACCCAGTTTTTAGAGAAATTATAAAATTTGATTATGCGAATTTATTTTTTTTTTATGAGAATCCTTATAAGTTAAAATAAAGATATATATGTAATGTTAAAATAAATTTAAAGAATGAGTTTTCCCCTAGCAAAATTTCGTGATGATGTCGTCAACATTTTTGCAAAGACACGTATATCATTTTGGATAGATGGCAGTGTAATACTAATGATAATAGTATTATATTCCCAAATTTTCGGGAAAATGGGGTGAGCTGTTCCCGATTTCAGTAAAATAAATTGAATCATTCATTAATTTTTAGAGTCATCCAGTATAAGAAATTTAAAAACTTTTGATGCAGTGATAAACCACAAGTATGCACTTATCATATTTTGCACATTTTGGATAGGATTTATGTGACAAAATTTTGAGATGACGTCATCAATTTTTTTTAGGGGGATAAACAGATATATTTTGATTAAAAACTTACCATGCTTACGATAAGTTTGAAACGTCTCCAAGATTTCAAAGCATTCGATTGTGCAGTTCCTGGTTTATTCAAATTTACCCTTTCATTAATTTTTTGAGTCACCCTGTATACGTAATTAAAAAAACTATAAATGCGTTGATAAACCACAAGTCATGATATTTTGCATATTTCGGAGAGGATTTTGTACGAAGGTACATCCCAAAAAATACTATTCGTTGAATTATGTATCGTTGTTTATTAGATGGTGGGTGCAGACAGACTCGTAGTCCGTTCGAAATATACATTGAATTGAACAGTGAAACGGGTGGGGGTAGAAACATGGGGTTGGTACCAGTGGTACCAACAGATTTATTCTGCAAAATTTTGAGAAGACGTCATTGTATTAGTGGTGGGGCTGATTAGCCAAATTTTAGTTACCTTTGACCACTTAGATGAGGTTCCTAATATACATACAAAATTTGACAACAATCGGTCCGGTAGTTTGGGAGATTAGGCGTCTAATAAAAATGAATACAGACACCAGACAGACAGACAGATAGACAGACGGACGGACAGACAGACAGACAGACAGGCAGACGGAAACGAGAGACCACTTTTTTCGTAGGTCATAACACGTCGAAAAATATGAAAGTGTGAATTCGGTCGATGGACTCAATTACTATACTTCCTTAACTTACGGTCGGGAAGTAAAAATAAGCGCATATGCAAAATATGTAATTAATTTTACTTTAAAGGCCGGCGTAGTATATGTCGTATTAATCGAAGTGAGGAACACATAGAATTATTAGTTTTAGTTTAATTAACTTTGCGAACTAATTACGGGAAACTAACTCAAAAGGTGACCGAGCACCAGGAATAGAGGAAAGTATGATGCGAAACCCCTTATTTCTACGTAATTAAAGTAAGATATTTTGCATTTGAAAGCTTCTTGAAATTAAAGCAGGAACATTCTCATAGTTTTTATTTGTTATTAATATCAAGTTCGATGAT